AAAGTTTGTAATTTCTTCACATTTTCTTACAGATCGTCCACGAGCCTTGAATTTAGAATCCATATTTGGAACTTCAATTTCAAAAATATTGCAAAAACGTGTCACTTCTTCAAGTAAAGGCACCCATTCATTTTCCCTCATCATTTGCAATCGTTGTTTGGACACTTGTACCAATTTCATTGCATTTATAATATCTTGATCCTTTCTTTGTAATGCTTGAGATAATTCATTTGTAATCCCTAAAATGTCAATCATCAAATGCAATGTTAAGACAAAGTCAAAAGATTTCATGGCATTTATTAAAACACCAGCTTCAACTGATTGTTGATCATGTATACCCTCTTCCTTCACAATTTCTAGTACTTCAAGTACAGAAGCATACATTTTTGTAAGACTGATTAATGTTTGGAAATGTGAATTCCAGCGGGTGTCACCAGCACGATGCAAATTTGTTTCTTGGTTCAAACCTCGACCAGCATCTAACTCTCCACTACTTAAATGAAAAAGAATTTTATCACGTTGAATATTTTTTAGTGTATCATTCCTCTTGCATGAAGCTCCAACAGTGTTTACAATTCTTGAAGTCATCTCAAATAAATGTTTTACTTGCCAATGATTTTTTGCAACTGCCACCAAACATAATTGGAGTTGATGTGCGAAACAATGAATGTAGAATGCTTGAGGATTATCTTTTAGAATAAGTGCTTTCAAACCATTGAACTCCCCTCGCATATTTGATGCTCCATCATAACCTTGTCCCCTTATTCTGTGTAAACTTAACGAATGTTTTGCAAGAAGTGCTTCAACTGCTGCCTTGAGTGTTCTTGAAGTAACCCTAGTCTTAAAATTTACTTGGGGATTCCCATTTCCTCTAAAAGGCTCAAAACTTCTCACTTCCAACCACTTTTGAGCAAAATATTTGCTCTGCTTGATGGTTGGAAAATCAAGTTTCTTTCCTTTGCAGGTAGAGTACAATTTCTTAAGTTCACCATCACAAACACCATTGCGTACTGGATAAGAGGTGCCATTATACCTAAATCTTGTTGTGCTACTATCAATAAGCTTTGTTCTAGATTTCTTTTTCATAGTAACCTTCAGGAGAAGAAAATGCATCTTATTGGATGGTCAAAAGTTACGTTACCTAAGAATTATGGTGGGCTTGGTATTCCCTCTATTGAGGCCTTATATCATGGGGTGTTTTGCTCGTTTATCGGCAGATTTTATAACACGCATAATTATTTGACTTCCTGGTTTAAAGCAAAATTTATTTCTCCTTGGAAAACTGCACCTGCCTCTGCTTCCAAATTCTGGAAAAAAATTGCTGTTACCGCTGTCAAAATCAAGGAGACTATATCCTTCTCTGTATCTAAAGCTAGCAATTTTTCTTTTCTTTGGGATCCCTGGTATAATGGTATGATTATTGCTGATCATTTTGTGCTTCCAAGTTTTGTTGATCTGCCTGTGAAGGATTTTATTACTAATGGCACCTGGAATTTTCCCTCCAACACTCCCTCTGCTCTTTCTGTTGCTATCATGGCTATGGACCTCAAAGATATGTCTGGTATTCTCTGGAATGGATCTTCTAACTGGAATTTTAAGGCCTTCATTGAGCATTATCACTCTCATTTACCTAAGGTTGAATGGTTTGAGTACATCTGGCATAAAAAAACATTCCCTTAGATATGCTTGCTTTTCTTGGATGGCTTTGATTGGGAAACTTAAAACAGCAGACAACCTTCTCTATAGAGGTATACAAGTAAACCCGCAGTGCTCCCTCTGCTTTAGCTTGGCTGAGAGTCACAATCACTTATTCTTTGAGTGTGATTTCTCTTTTAATATTCTCAAATTCATTCTACCAGACCTCAATGGTTTCCTATTGAGACCCAATCTAATTCAGGTTTTTGAATTTATTATCCAACATGCTTCGTATAGTAGAATTGAGAAGGATTTATGTTGTTTATCTGTTAGCTGTATTGTTTACCATCTTTGGCGTGAGAGAAATTGCCGTCGTTTCTCTAACCTGAGCACTAATTCGGTAAAACTGATTTGTGATATTACTGCTGCCATTCGGTTCAAAACATCAAAATGGAAAAACAAAGACATGCTTTTTCAAAGGTTTACTTTTATTTAACCTCATGGTATTTTCTGTTTTGCTTATGGCACTGCTGGACTTTCTTCATGGCCGAGGTCAATTCTGGTTACTGCTGCTGCAAAGGATTTTATGGTATTTTGGGAGCTCTGGTAGCTCCAGCTTTTTGTTTCAATTTTGTTTCAGACCTGGGAAGAACTTTTTGGGACTGTGGTTGCTTCTCTCCTCCAGCCAAGCCCGGTTCGTTTTTTGAAGAACAAGGAGCTCATTTCTTGGGTTTACTGATTTGGCAGTTCTGTTTTCGTGGGCTATTACTGCGGGGTACATCTCTACAATCTGACAATGATGTGCAGGGCCAGATTCTTATTGCTGCCCTGGACGGTCCTTGTGGCAACCGGGCACGATTTTATTCTCTCGATGGAGGCTCTGCGATGGCCTTCCATATGTTTTGGCAACCGGAGTCTCTGCCCCGTCGTCGCCGTGTTTCAACTGATGGTTTTAGTTGATGGGTCTGGTCCTTTTATATTTACTGAGTCTGTATGATTGTAATGTCCCTTAGTTGTAGCCTACATTTTGTTGATGCCGCTAGTTTTAGTTGCTATTTTTCTTCTTCCTTACAGGTCTTGTAATTGTAATTGTTTTTTATTTCTGTTATTAATACATGGGCCTTTTTTGCCCCGGGTTTACCCCCAAAAAAAAAAAATTTTTCAGACACACTTTTTAATTATGTTTTTTTTTTTTAATTAAATTTATATGATGTTCCTTCTAATTCCTAAGTAAAAGCTTATCCTTTTAAAAATTCCATTGATTTCTTACAAGTATCATATAAAAAGATTGATTGTAAAATTAGCTTCTCACCATAAATTTTTTAAAAATCATAGAGAAAATAATAAGAAAGTAGTGGCCTAATGTGATTGTGATTATGATCCGAAAAGTAAAGCAGTGCAAAAGCTGTCCCAATTTGACATTTAGGTTTCGTTTGAGATATCTTTTTTACTGTTTTGTAAAGCTGTTTTTTAGTACAAAAAATTTTTGTTCAAAATTTTTATACTAAACTACTGCTTTAGAAAGCAACAAGAAAGTCATCCCAAATGAAATCTTCGTGACAAAGATCTCAAGAATAGGTTGCTTTAAGGATGATTACTTTCATCACCCTTCATAATTTGTTAGCAATATTCAAATCACTTTTAAATTTCATAAATCCTCTTTTATTATGATCTAAATAATCTAAGGAAATAACATAACTAAGGTAAATATAGAGAGAATTTGATGAAAATGAGCGATAGTGAAATCTACTTGATCACTTCTCATAAATTCCCTCATATTATTCAATAAATAACACTTGCTTGATAGTTTCTTTCATAATCAATTTAGGATTGTAGGTTCATTGCATGAAATGTCACATATCATGTTTGTATTATGATAGGTTAGTTGAAAATTTTGAATTTTGGTAGGGAGAAAAATTAGGGCATTTCTTATTTATGCATCATAAAAAAATTATTTTGATCAATCTTAAATCATAATACAAATACTTGAATTGACTAAAAATTTACCTAATCAAGTTCAAGATAAAATGAACTCCATTTTCAAATAATTTTTTTACTGAATTGTTCATCTTGATGAAAGAAATCTAACGAGTCTAATTTTCAACTAAAAATATAGTAATCCCATAAAAAAAACAAGAAGATTAGGAAAAAAAACAATAGTGGAGGTAAAGGATGGATAGATTGGACTAGTTAAGAAAGATACTTTAATTATGAAACAAATTAATTAGGAAAGTTATTGTTAAAGAAGTCCTCAATTCAAAAGTAAAATAAAGCAAGGGCCATCCCACTCAACACAAATGTTATAAAGAATGATATCAATAGTGAGCAAATAATAAACCACATAGGGAAGGAGCAATCAAAAAAATAAGAGCTTGGTTTTCTTATGTAAGCTACACATTACACAATTATAATTGCAATTGAGATCCATGATTTTCAATAGTTTGTAAGCCATTCTAACACCCCCTTCAAGTGTAAACAATATGTTTGAAGGAGAAGCTTTATGCCGAACATATTTGGTCTAGTAAGGGTCAGAGTAACTAGTAAAAAAGATGAAATTTTATGGTGGTAAGAGTAAACTCATGATTTGTGCAATGAGGTTCTTAAGAATGGCATCCGAGCCACTATTATAGACAATGGATGATCCATCTACCATTGTTAATGATACCTTTTCACTTCGGCCTTCATATGATAGTTAAAAAGCTTTTTTGTAAAGAGTAACTCAAATAAGAGGTCGAAAAATTGAAAAAAATTATGTCCTTCCTAAACTATATATATGTTATTACTTTTATTTTTTATGGTGAGGTAACCAAATTTGGTCTAGTAAGGGTCAGTGTTTCTTTAAGGATGAATAAGGCTTTGTTTGGGACAGCTTTTGGTCATTATTGTTTTGCTGCATTCATTACCTTTTTGTGCTAGAAAGTTGCTTTGAAAACAACAAGAAAGTCATCCCAAACAAAGCCCAAGTTTATAAAATGCCAGCTTGAGTTTATTGTTCAGAAGCTTGGCAATGACCTTATAAAATATACTACAATGTTCCACAAGTCCATAATTTGAGAATTATACACATTCAACTTCATAGAAAGCAACAAAACAATATCTTCCAGCTTTGTTTAAACAGCTAGAGGAAGAGAGGACTCAAGAGAATTATCTTCCAAAAGAGAGAAAATCTCTTCATGTTTATCCATACTAATCTTTGAACAGAAAGACAAATTAAAGGCTAAAACAAATTGATTCTTCACCATTTAAGTTTTTTGCCAAAATAAAAATGGGATCACCTTGAACATAATTACTCCACACTTTCTGAATGAGAACTATAAACCTCCCACAGACAGTCCATAAATTCTTGAATAAAAATTCATGCTTCTGGAAGGGATATTTCCAGCATAAATGATGAAAGAGAAAAGATCAGATGAAGAGGAAAATGATCCATTTACCTTTAAGTAGTTAGGGCTTTGTCCAGTTCAGATCTAATGGGGAAGCCATCTTAATTACTATACCAGGAAAAAGAAAGACCCAAATAAGGAAAGATAAAAAAGGCATTAGCCTTGAAGTACAATTATTACAATAAATCAACTTGGAGAAATACAGCCAAATTTCTCCTTAGTACATCTAATGTAATTGAAATCTCCCAAAATCATCCAAATTAAATCCAAAGTAGATAAGATGTTCACAAAACAATCCTATAGATTTGCGATATCCTAACAGAAATAGGGCTACTGAGAGAGTAAGCCAATAATTTGATTTTAAGAAGACAAAATAGGTCAATGTGAGATCCCCAAAAAAGGTTCATGCAATCTGAGATACACTCCTGGTCATGGAGGCCCTTTGCATTTCAGGAGGCAATAATTGGGAAGAACATTAAATATACTTTAATATAGAGAGATTTTAAAAGTTAGAGGATCAATATTCAGGCATTAAGGCTGGGCTTGGTCCTGACCAGAAGGAAGGTACTGAGCTATGTTGCACCGATTCACCTATTTATGAAGCCGTGCTGCATCCGATACACCGATACACGGATACGCCTCCGATACGCCACCGATACGTGTCGGATACGCCAAAGCCGTATCCAATTAAATACTATTTAATTTCAAAAGGACACGAGTATCGTGTCGTATCCGTGTCGGCGTATCCGTATCGGTGCAACATAGGTACTTAGAGGATTCTTTAGGGATGGAGTGATTAATGCTTAGTTTAACAATTGGGTCTAGAAGGATAGAAAATAAAGTAGGAGGGTGGGTTGTTCAGCAGTGTTCAGACATGAAGTGATTAATGCAAAAGCTGTTTTTCTTTCCCAGATTCATCTATTTGAAGGAGTTATCAACAGTATTTCAGCACTATGTAGTTCTTAGAAAAAAGTTTTAGCACTCAAAACTGAATAATGGATAAATAAAACTTCATTGCTTCTACTCAATTATCAGCTGGAAATTGGTCTTTGGTTTTTAGCTGCTATCAGCAGGCTACAGGCAAGAACTAAATAGAGAAGTAACTGAAAACTTTAAACCATAAACAAAAAGTCATTTCAAATAACAACAATTGATTCATATAGATTCTGCTATAGCATCAAGAACTATTTTATTGTTCTTAATTCTGGAAGTAAGATTCAAGGTCTCAAAACTATATTCATTGAACAAGTAGCAAGAAATTGTTGACAAGAAGAACTTAGGTGGCTATAAACATCAGAAATAACCAAAAAAGGGTTGCCAGTTTTCCTGCTTCCTGAAACAAGCCCATTGATTAATGCAAATTGAAATAGGAGGGAAGATCAGGTTGAAGGTTCAAAGTTCTTTCCATGATGAATCAAAGATGACAAAGGAATCATACAGATCATGATGAATCACAGTGTTAAGGTCTTTCCATGATGCTTAGACAAGCTAAAAGGAAAAGGTTGGGAAGACAACAGAGAAAAGAAAAGAATATTACCATGCAAAGAGCACTGGAACCAGCCTAAAAATTCTCTGAGCACCTAAAAGCATTGGATAGAACCACATTTTAGTTGGATAGGAAATAAAGGTAGAGAATCACACAATTATCACACAATAAAGGCAATAAAGAGAGGCATCAGTCCTACAAAATCTGAAGAGTAAAGTTCCTTGAAAGGAAGTTTCAAAAACAAAAAAAAAAATTCAAGATATGGAGCATTTTATTCTAGAGGACCAGCTGGTTCCCTAAAATATTTCACAAAAGATGATCAATTCCATCTCTCTTATGCATCTTGGATAACAAGTAATAAAGAAGAAAAGTTTCTTATACCCAACAAAACAGTTAACTTCCCACAAACTAGAGAAGTTTTCTTTTATTGAAAGGAAAAAAATGTCTATCACACTAATCACTTACATAAATTGAAACACTCTTCTCAATATATTCCGCAGTTTGGTGTTACACCTCAACTGATCCCCAAAGAAAGGAAAGCCTAAACTCAATTGTAGAGAGAGAGAGAAAAAAACACAAATCTCAAACCGTAGAGAAAATCCTATAAATTTGGGAACCTTGAAATAGAATTTTATGAAACAAGCTCCCTGGTTAGCCCTAAATAATTAACTAACCACATTATACATTCAATGAAATATTCCAAATTCACAGTCATGAACCTGCTATTACTGGTTTCTTCACCTATAATAAGATCTGACAAAAAAGAATGACACCTTCCTAGGCAGCAACACCTGAAAAAAGTTAAAAATATAGATCAATATGTTAGAAAGATTCCCTTATCAAAAAAATTTGTCTTTATAGATTTAACAGTGTAAGGAAAGAAAGAAAAGTTCAATACATTTTAAAACAAACTCCACTTGTTCGCGAAATGACATATCTAAGAAGGAAACATGCACGCAAGAATGTCATCCGTCTGCCAACAAAAAGTTCCATGTATTAGAAACTGAGCAACAATGACACTATTTCAATGAATTTTGGCATTTACTATCTCAAAGAACTTTCCATAGAAATGTTCATGAAGCAAACCAAATACAAAATTATATGAAAATTGCTCCTTATATATTGTTACAAAAGGTATGCTCGACCATTCACATGGGCATGCATTAATAGGGGAACAAACATTTTTTTTTCTTTTTTGCTTAATTTCTGTCTATTTCACTGACAGAGGCCATTTCAGTATCATTTTATCATAAAACAGCAAGTAAAACAGTATTCACAGAAAAATGAAACTTAGAATTTTGATAACTGATGTAAATTCAAAAGATAAATCACAAGTGCAGTTGTTTTATCAAGTAAACTTGTAGGAGCTTAAGATTCTTCTTTACATTATGTTTAGAATGTTTTTAGTTGTACAACAGAGTTAAGTTCATCTGTTCATACCAAGGTGCATATATAAAGTAGCCATATTTCTAGAGAATGTAAGAAATACAGATTCTACATCTCAATGGTCTGGTTGGGAAAGCGAGCCACTTTACATTTTGAATGGAATAGACCAGCTTACATCCGGTAAGCTTAGGTTTTTCACTTTCCAGATGGACTGTTTTATAGCAAATCAAGTTATCGTGTACGGCGATTTTGATGAGAAACACACCACAAGCATGGGAGAAGAGACAAAGTTAACAGCTATTTACTAGGCTCTGTTTGTCATCTGTGTTTTCCAGATGGACTGTTTTCTTTGTAGTCAAGATCTTGATCGTAAATTCATAATGCCATTCCTTCTACAATGCTTGAAGAAATTACAAATTATACTGGGCATGTCGAGGCCAACAGTTATTATTCAAAAAGAGTTAAATGCCATACACTTCAGTGATTTTCAGGAATTTTGGACAATAATGAGTGTCACCTTGAATCAGATTATGAAAGAGATTTAGGCTTCGTTTGGGACGGCTTTCTTACCGCTCCTTCAAGCAACTTTCTAGTACAAAAATTTTACTAGAGAGCTGCTTGAAGAAGTGGCAAGAAAGCCGTCCCAAACGAGGCCTTAATTTGATTGAGAGAATATATGAAATCATGAGAATGATTATGAACAGGATGAAGAAAAGAGGGTTTAAGATGCTATAGACAATTAACATGTAGTGCATATTTCAATATAAGTAAAATTTGAAGTTCAAACCATTCCAATATGTAAAATAGTTTGCAGAACAGTAAGCCAAATCCTATATAGTCTCCTAAGCATATTCAATATAGAATAAAGGTAGATCGATGAGGTAAAAGACTTTGTCTTAAACGATCAAGGGCGAAGACATAATATTCAATTACTGAAAATCTTTCTAGATTTCCAGTTACTTGGAGAAATCTCTTACCTCTATTCGTCTGCCTATTCGAAACATTATAACCACCCATGTAATCAATTGAACCACCCTTAAATGTGACATCTGAAGCTGCAGAACCAAGCCCATAACCAAATGGACTATAACCACCAAGTTTAGGAGCTGTCTGCCAATTAGGGTCGCCATGAATTGAACTTCCATCATATGAATCACTATAATTTCCTTCAAAACCATTGATGGGTGCAACAAAGGAAGAATTGGCAGAGCCAGTGCCACTGCCTCTTCCATAACTTCCACCAACCAAGCCAAAATTATTCTTCCCTGCTGCATAATTCATAGTTGCAGAAGTAAAGGTTGAATCACTCACACCATGAGCTGCAAGAGGAGAAGAAAAGCCACTCCAGTTCAGGCCACCATTGCTAAATCCAGCAATACTCCCACTTCCAGAGTTCAGGAAGGAATTTGAACCTGCAGAATTGGTGCCATAGTTTACGTCTCCATTTTCCCAAAGATTATGAGCTGCTGAGCTAAATGTTGATCCAGGATTTCCGCTACCTCCACGATAACCAATAGGATTACCAAACCTACTCGAATTTCCACCAAAGAATTGATTCAAGGAGCGACCATAACCAACGCTACCGTTGACATTCGAGCTTCCACCATAAATTTGGTTCATCCCAGGCTCAAAATTCATTCCAATTCCGTAACCAGGAGTCAAAGAAGGGATGGCCTTCCTTCCACCAGTTAAAGGACCAAATCTACCATCCATTCTAATGCCATAGCTACCCATTGAGGTTGGATTGTAACCCTGATTATATCCATTAAGAAAGTTATTAATTCTATTAATACCATGGTTATATTCCCCTATTGGTAACCTCAAGTTAGGCCCTGGTGAAAGCTCTTTCGGAACAGCTCTCTTGACTTCCACCATCTTTCCATTGAGTTCATGAAAAATTTTATGCAACACCTTATCTACAGCATCTTCTGAGTCAAAGGTTATGAAACCAAATCCTCTTGGCCTTTGAGTATTGTGATCATACATTACAATAACATCAGTGATGGTTCCGAACTGTTCAAAATACTTCTTGAAGTCAGCGTCCGTCACACTGGAAGCAAGGCCTCCAACAAATATCTTTTTGGTTCGACCAAGACCAGGCGAAGCTTGGATGCTGCTGTTGTTTCTATTAAGTATATGGTGATCATCCCTTGGAACAGCCTTTTTGGCTTCAACCTGTCATGCATCAACTAGAATGAGACTCAATAGGAATCTACAATGAGATAACTCAGTTTTCAGAAGTGGAAAGAGCGGCATCGAAAGTTGAGATTTTTCTGCAGGTGATTGCATGAAAGATCGAATTTTTATATTTGCAACTCTAATAACATGATCTGATGCCTATGAGAAAATGAAAAGTAAGAAATGTAGTTACCATCCTGCCATCAATCTGATGTTTCTCCATGACAACTCTGTCAGCAACGGCGGGATCAGCAAAGACAACAAACCCGAATCCCCGGGCACGACCAGTTGTCCTGTCCTTCATGATGACCGCCTCCACAACCTCCCCAAAGTTCTTGAAGTACCCCCGAAGACGATCCTCATTGGTGTCCCAGGAAATTCCCCCAATAAAAAGTTTCCCACGATCAGACTCCATTCTCTCCATGATCCTCCCTGCAAGTTCCGGCGCAGAATTTACAATCAAACAATCATGAATATATGACCCGAGGCTCAAACCAACTAGAAACCGCAAATTCATCACAAACACAATCAGTGCAAACTAGATCCAATCCCAAACAAACAATTTAAAGCAGAAAGACCAAAACTCGGATAACAAAATCCAATCTTTACAACTCCGATCGGTTTCTTAACCAAAGCGGATTCAAAGATGGCTAGCATAGATCCAAAACAAAAGAAACCTCAATAAAAGCGCCTACCTTCACAAACGCAGCACAAATAAGTAAACGTATTGCAGAAGAGAGGAAACGTTCTTTGCAAATCAATAAAGGAAGCTCGGATCTTTGTCAGATCGAACAAACGTGAAGTTGAATCTAGATACGACAGACTAATCAAATTGAACCAAATAGTTTGATGGACGCTCAACGGGCGATCCGAGGTCCGTCTTGCTATGCGAGGATGGGTAATGCCCTCTCTTCTTCTATCTCTAAGATCCGGAAGTCGGCATAGACAGATCAGAGTTCCTCATCGCCTTCCCCACCTTCCCCCGTCTCCTTATATAGCCCTCACGCCTCTTCGATATTTTCACTTTTTTTTACCTCTCTCTCTCTCTCTGGTTTTTCTTCAGAAAGGAAGAAACCAAACCGGGAATACGAAGACGGGAGAGAGAGAGAGAGAGAGGGAGTCCTGCTGTCATTAAGAAAAAGGAGATTTTTCGGTGGGAGTTTTTTGTTAATACTTGATTTGTATTTTATTTATATTTATATTAGTAAAAAATATATGCAATTTGTGCACTTAATTACAAATTTATGATTTCTTAAATCTCATAGTATTTTGAATTTGTATTTATTGATAATTTTATTTAAATATTTGTGACATTATAAGTTTATAACTATTTAAATTTTTTTTGAGAAAATAATTGAATAAATTATATAAAAAAGTATTAGTCTTACTAGAATTTAAGCATTTGATTTAAAATAATAATCAAATGGATATATTTTAAATAATTTTTATTAATATATATATACATTTTTTATTGCTTTATAAAACTAATTTTTAATACAAATTTTTTTTTTGAAAGCGGAAAAAAAAAAACAATAGTCTAAAGCTGTCCCAAACGAAGCTTTAAATTGATATATATCACTTAAGGAGTTGACATTTGGTGCATTATATCATTCTTATATATCACAATTTTGAATGTATATTCAAATATATTTAAAAATTATCTATCAAACTCATTTATATTGTTATTTTTTAAATTTAAATATGCTCAGATATTATTCGTGGCTCAGCCATCACATGACTAATTGAGCATCGAGAAATTATTAGGTTCAGAGTCCGGATGTAGAGATACGTCCGAACTCTAATAAAATGTTGACACGTGGAGTGGACACATGGATGAGTGGACACATGGATATTCAATTGGATTTATTTTTAACTTTATATATTTAATGTGTTCACCAAACTTTAAGTCAAGCTCATCAAAAACACAGCAAAAATGCATGTAAAGTACAGTCTAAGTGCAACTAAAGCACGTATAAAGTGCAAGTCAAGCTCAAGTAAAGAGCACCAAAAAAATACAATCAAAGTGCAATCCACGTGTCAAATTTTAAGAGGATGTCCAGACGTATCTCTATGTCAAGACTTTGCACATAATAATCCCTCTTGAGCATAACAATTTTATCAATTTTTAAGTAATTTCTCAAGAAACTAACAATGGTAGCATGTTTTCTCAATTTTATCCTTATGCACGTGACAAATATTTGTCGTGGAGTCACTCAACTACATGAATCTTTTTTCTTCATTATGTCGTATTAATAATGAAATTCTCTTTTAAATCTAATAAAAAAATATCATTTTTAATACCTTCTAACTAATATTTTTAGGTTAACTCCTACCTTTTTAATATAAGCTGGCTCTAAAATATCTACTCTCCTAAGTCGGCTTTAAAATTTTAAAAAATCACCGGAAGGCTGACGTTTTATGTTAAGACACTCACTATAATCGTATCTGACACATGAGATACTTCAATCTTTTCACGTAAATACTCATTTCATGTTTTATCTCTAAATATAAAACTACTCATCCACTTGACCATCACATATCTCTACAACACTTAAGTTATGCTTCGTTTGGGACATCATTCGTACTGCTTCCTAAAACATTTTTCTAATATAAAATTTTATAATTTAAGAAAATTTTATGGTAAAAATTGCTTTAGAAAGCAACAAAAAAATTGTCTCAAACCAAACTTTAATTTTAGGATTCCTTATTAATGGACAACATTCTGCACCATATATAAATTTTTTTTTTTTTGGAAATAAACTTAATTTGATCATTATTTAAATTTAAATGAACTTAAATTTACAATTAACTTCTTTCTATTAGCTTAATTATTTGCTATATGAAATGCATATATATATATATATATATATATATATATATATAATATGGTGATTATAGCTTTGTGTCTTATGACAAAAGGTTTAGCCGTTTTGGTCGAAACAGAAAACAACTAAATTGTCACGTGCATAAGGAGATTCTTCATCATGCTAACGACTAAATTTTGGTAAGTTTGAAGACTAATTAGGTTAAAATAGTAATTTAAAGAGATCCATTATTTGCTTGAAATAAAAAATACTTTGTTAATAAAAAATAATGTAAAACTTTAAAGCCATTTATTGCACGCTTTTGCTCAAAAGTTCAATAAAAATTGGATTTTTATCTCTCTAATTTAAAACCTTAATGGTCTTTTTTTTATCAAATCAAAGAGTGTGTCTTTTTATTTTCTAAAGCTTTTTTAATTACGACAATAGTGTCAGATATATTATTAAAAATTTATCATAATTAGTTTTGATTATTTATTTTATTTTGAAAATAATATAAATTTAAATTAATTCATCAACATTTATATTAAAATCTGTTTCAAAATAAATTCAATGATATAAAATTATTTAAATTAAAATATGATAATAAGATGTTAACTAAATTTTCATCTATTTTTTTATTATGATGAATATTAACTTTCTTAAATTTGATTTAATTTGAGTGCAATATATAAATAATTTGTATTACAGTCATAAAGAAATAATTTTAAAAACTTTAAAAATTAAATTATTTTTCTTAAGAATTCATAAACTTTTTAAAGTTGTGCTCCTTTAATAAGTAATTGTGCTTTTTTTTTCATTTTTTAGTTATACAAATGATAATTACGCTAATTAAATTTACAAACCACAAATTACATAAAAAATCATAGATTTATTTGTTGGTTTATTAAATTTAATGGTCTTAAAATTTATGTGATTATTATGTCAATTTATTAACAATTATGTTTGAGAATTTTACCTTTTCTCCACCTATAATGTATGGATAAATATAAGGTTTATGAATATCCTAATCATTATTATTATGATGATGACGATTTTTTTAGCTGAATTATTTTCTTAGAAAATTATATTTTTTGCATTTTCATATTAGGAGGAATGATCAATATATGTTGCACAAGCTTAGCTTTGTATTATAATCAAAAGTAAATATTTGGGGTCATTTTATTTGCTGAAAAAGAAATGAAAAGTATAATTAATACAATATAAAATGAATGCAATGTATTTGATAGATTTTTGAGTTATTTGGATAAATGTAAAATTTATTACATCGAATGTGTGAGTAGAATCAAATTTAGTGTATCAAATGCTAGGCCATATGCGTGAGAAAAGTCTAAGAATTATCCAGTCAAGAGGTAAAATTCTAAGGGGGCAGATTTCTTATTACTTCTTAAAACTGTTTTTTATAAAAATTGAACTTTTTATTAAAAAGCTGCTTTAAAAAGTATTAAGAAAATCATCCAAAACGAAGCCTAAATCTTTTTTTATTTTATATACAAAATGAAAAAACTTGGCTGAAAATGAAATAGAACATAAATCCGCTACCTATCTGAAAATGTTAGAGGGTACGACTACAGAATTTAAAAAATACTACATTACTCTTGGGATTAATATGGAGAGAATGATATGAGAAACTCCACAACAAAATGAAGTAGTTAAGAGAATAAATAGAGATCTCGATGAGCATGCAACAAGTATGAGATTGCATGCAAGTCTTTTGAAGGAGAGATTATTAGGTGTGAAGTCCGTACGCGTCCAGAGGCCAATTATGGCGTGCCACGTCATCCAATATACTGTGTATTAAGTGATGTGACACATCTGAATGAATCTACTGATACGTCCGGACACCGCACGTAATAACTTTTTTTCTATAGAAGGCCTTCAAAATAGATGCAAGAAATATAGCATCATCTCAAACTAATTGAGATCATCAGTTGCACTTAATTTTGGATTTTTAAGAAGCCTAGACCAATAGGATCGGAGGGTATACATATCATATTTAAAGGCTTTTACTTGCTTAGGAATTAGGATGCAAAATGGCCCGAGTGGTACATTGAATCTTTGCATGCAAATGATTTTTCAAGTGGGAGCTAAACATGATTAGGGGTGTCAATTTTTGACACGATCCGAATCCGACCCAGAAAAATTCGGTTTCGGGTCAACTCGGACCCGAAACAGGTTAGGCTCGGGTTCAACAAATCAATCCATTTTAAAAATCGGGTCGGGTTCTAGTTGACCCAGCAACCCGAAATTGACATAAAAACTTGTATTTGACACAAAAATTCGTTTTTGATTCGAAAATCAAAGATAGCCCGATTTTTTACCCGAAAAATAGCAATTTTGGGTCAACCTCGGGTCATTCGTGTCGGGTTCGGGTCCGAAAACCTAACCTGTTTTTAAAACGGGTCGGGTTTGAGTTGACTTGAATAGTGATGTGTCAGTTTCAGGTTCGACACGAACCCGACCCGTTGACCTGAATTGACACCCATAATGTTGATAGAATAAATGAAATCTATTTATAAAAATAACTTCTCAATACTAATTAATTTAGTTGCCTAAAAATAAGAAGGCGCTACAAAATAAATGGATGTACAAAGTGATGGGAGAACATACAAGAATCAAAAGAAACAAGACTGCTTATTGTTTAGGGATTTCAATAGAAAGAAGGTAAATACTTTATATGTCATCAAAAAATTCATTTCTTCAAGCATGAATCTCGATGTATTATTCACATTATGAATTTTTAAAATTAAATTTAGGATCATCCGAGCTCTGATTTTAGAAAATGTACAATTGAATTGAATATCTTGGTGAGATGAACTCAATTATTTCGAATGTGATTTGATCGGAGTGCAAATTAAGTCCAAATCAAGGCATCAATACAAAATTTTTTGCATTTGTTGAAGGATCAAATAATATTTGAATCTTACATTCTTACAGTCAAATCGAGTGTCTCAATAAGATGAATTCAAAGAGCTTAAGATCACTCAATTCTAACATTATTAATGCTTTTATATACTAAAAATATAATCTATAATTGAGGAAATCAATATGAGTCGTCCAATAGTGTTATGAGATTTTTGCTAAATTTATCAAAATACAACTCAAAATTTATTTTTAGACTTCTATCCTCTACATAAAAGGGAGGAGGCCTTGACCTAAACTTGAAGTTGGAGTTAGAGATAATAGTGCATGACGATTGGTGTTGATATAACACCAACAACTGCAGTTGTCTAAAGCTGCCAACTTCATTACTAATAATTTCGACCAATGTCATCATCTATAAGGTTGATGCACATAATCGATGCAAAATGATAATGCCAACTAACTTTATCATTTACCTTATCCATAAAATTAATGCATGCATTGATTATGAGGCTAATGTACATAATGGACATAAATGTTAGTGTTGAGAAATGATTGATGCTAAAGACCGTCGACAACAAGTGTCATCGTCATACTAATCACCTGATCACCATTGCTACTATCTTTTAACTTCAAGCTACCGCAATCTCCTGATCACCATTGCTTCTATCTTTTAACTTCGAGCTACCGCAATATCCTGATCACCATTGCTACTATCATTTAACTTCGAGCTACTGCAATATCCCGATCACCATTGCTACTATCTTTTAACTTCGAGCTACCGTAATCTCCTGATCACCATTGCTAGTATCTTTTAACTAGTGTTGCCTAACAATTTTCACATTACTATTATCTCCTTCTGTCATTATCACCAACAAAATTGATGCACGTCATTATCTTTAAAGTTGATGCATATCATTGACACCAATGTTGATGCCTACCAATTTCATTGTCCATTATCACCAATAATATTGATGCAAGTCATCGCTTATAAGATTGCTGCACTCCATTGATGCTCATCATAACCTGTAAGATTGATACATGTCATCAATGTTTGTAAGATTGATGAACACTATCGAGACCAAGGCTGATGTCAATCGACTGTATCAATTGTTCTCGTTCATATAACAATGCACATCATCACTAACAATGTTGATACGTGTTGTTGACACTAATTTTGATTCCCAATGTCAACAACACGATTATATTAGATGCCTCCTTTCCTCAAATACGAACAATCAAGCCTGTCACATATTATCTCTCAAAGACAACTCCAATATCTAAAGCCTCTTATAACTTTCACCATGAAATACATCTTCCATAGTTAATATCTATTAGATTGTATTAACTCTACCTCAATTATAGATAAGGACATCATTTGCAATTGATGGCATAGTACATAAGCGAAATTCTTTCAATTAGGTCAGAAACTATAATTTTTTCCCTTTCATATTTCCACATAAACACTTTCAAGCCTCCTATAATATTCATTTACATGCGTGTGTGCTAGACCTTCGTAAAAAAGTAAGACATTAAATTGCATTTTCTATCATGAATATTCTAACATGCAATAATACTTTGTAAATTAATATATTATCAATTGTTGACATGTAAATTGGAATTATGTGTTATTAATATTGGTATTCTAAAAGTAGAGAAGATTAGTAATAATAATTATGAAATTAATTGATAAGGCTATCAAGTACCACTGTGGATAACTCAGATGATCTATCTATCTGTAATGTTGAATTTTATTTTTGGGATAAATCTTTAAATAAATAAGTCTAATAAATTATTTAAATTTGGCCCCTTAAAGTTTATATATATAATTTCATGCAACTTTAAGGGTTTCTTTCCTTAAGTACTTTTAGAGTATTCAAATTTGGATCAAATAATAAAGCACAATAATTTTGATTTCATATATAAAATAAAAAGAATGAAAATAATTAATTTTTTAGTACAAACAAATGTACACCTCAATACTAAAACTAGTCATTAGAAAAAAGTATTTATAAATCTTAATTATTACAATCAATAAACAAATAAATTTATTATTTAATAATTATAAGCCAAACTAAATTAATTTATTCAAATCATTCAATTATTTATTAACAATTTTCAATCAAATAAGTATACCTCTAATCTTACTAAACATTTTTTACTTTGCCTTTCAAAATCAACACAACCTTGCAAAGTCAAAGGAACTGACTGGTGTACATTTACGCTCAAATTCGTAGCACACTGGTTGAAATAAGTTAGAGAACCCTAATGAGCTTGATTTGGAATTTTTATTCGGTCCGGACACCTGATGTAGCTGTACATCCGGACACCAATAAAATGTCGCCACGTGCTCTTATTCTTTACTGTGCGGCCCCGGCGACCCGACCCGGAACGGAAACCCGATATTGTTATATTCGTGTATTGCTAGGTATTGCTCTGTATTGCTAGGTATTGTTTGACAATAACGAGAAATACCACTCTGTCAAGACCAATACCGAGCAATACCTAGCAAAACCGGGGTATTGCTCGGTATTGCTAGGTATTGGTATTTACATAATGGTATTTCTCGTTACCGAGCAATACCATGGTATGTACAAATCAGCTAATACATAGCAATATTGGGTTCCGGTCTGGGTCGGGTCGTCGGGCCGCACGGTAAAGAGTAAGAGCACGTTGCGATATTTTATTGGCGTCCGGATGTAGAACTACGTCAAGTGTCCGGACCTAATAAAAATTCCTTGATTTGAGGGCTCAACCTGCCCGAAATAATATAAAATAATATTTTTCACAGGCTCTTTCTTAAAATTTTAATTCTACTACTCATGTGGGATAAGATTTTTCTACAGATATTATAGAGCTAATTATTCTAGTTATTTAATGCTCTCCGTTTCTTTTATGTGAAAATGACTTTCAATTGTGGACAGTTAGGAATTGTACTTATTAAACTTTTATTATTAATTAAAGCTAATTATTCTAATTAATTAATGCTCTCTATTTCTTTAAGTGAAAAATGACTCTCTAATGTGGATGTTTTTTTTTTTTTTTTTTGGGGGGGGGGGTTTTTTTTTTTTTTTTTTGGGGGGGGGGAAAACCCCACAGAAGGGGCCTCTAATGTGGATCATTAGGAATTGTACTTATTGTAAATTAGGGCTAACTATTATTGCAATTAAAGATATTCGTATTTTTTTTTTAACAAAAGGAAAATGATATTAAATAAACGAAAGATACATTACAAGATCACGATCGGGCCATATCAATAGGGGTATGATCAACGAAAAACCAAAATCAGAAACGAATCAACACGGACACAGGCCGACACCCAGTTGTTATGGAGGGTCATCCAATGAGGATCCAAAAATCGACAAGAAACCAAAAACAAGTAGCAACCAGCATACCACCACGGTTGCCCAACCCTGACCATCATAGGTGCATGTAAAATAACTACTTCCTCATCGTTCAAATCCAAACCAACGAAGACATCTGAAACCTTATAGTAGCCAAAAACCACATCCCACGAAAAGAGCACAAGAAATCATTTCTTTTTCGACTTTCGTTTACGATTTCCGACAATATTATCCAACGAACCAATTTCCAAACCACCATCAAAAGTATCCTCGCCTTCAGACGGCAAATCATCGTGTAACCAATCACAATGCCACCGGACATTGTTTCTAGTTAGATGGACTTATAAATTAGCATTTGAAATAATCGAAATAGGCACTTCCACCAGCAAATACACACCAACCCCTGTAAGTTAACATCACCACCATCATCCTAAGAAATCGAGTTAGCATCGAAAGACTCCACACTAACATGAAACAAATGACTAGCTATAGAATTAACACTACAATGAGAATCAAATAAATTCGCACAGCCAGAAGCCACAGATAGAGGGCCCCCACCCAATAAAGATATTCATATTACTTAGGGCTAGCCAACTTGTTAATTAGGGAAAGCTACGTATTATATATGACCAAGGATATGATTTTCATTTAATGCAAGCATTATGTTTCACCGGTTTAGATTGTGGTATGCATCTAAATGATGTTGAAGTGTTGTGGATTTAATAATATATCTCTATTTTATTTGTGTGTATCATGTGATAGGTATTAGCGATGTTAAACAAGCTAAAATGTGTCTGACTTTACTAGAGATCTTGATTAACATATATGATCATATAAACTTTAATATTTCATTCCTTGCAATTATATTTGATCTATGAGAGATATGCATAAAATATTAAAATTTTAGATGTCAAATATATAAATAACATAATATAAAGTGGTATATATATAAATCACCTAAATATAAATCCACAAATTGACACTCTTCTAAGATATTGAATCAAATGAAAACATATGCATGTCAAAAGAGAGACACTGAAAATATTCGGGGTTTTTTATCAATAAAAAAACAAGCAACGGTAAACCAAAGAGATCCACATCCTAAGAGGCTGTTTGGTAGCAGAATTTAGGCCGGATTTGAGCTAAATCCAACCAAACAGCCTAAAATGCAAAACCAAATCTCACTGCAAATGAAAACCACTATAGACGAAAAATTCCGCCTTTTCATGCTAAATCCCGAATTTCCAAAACCCTGCATTTTCCCGGATTTACGAAATCCTCTGCCTCTATTGGAGCGGGAAAGAAGAAACTCCACTCAAAATTTTCAACCTCCTTAAATCCCGAGTAGAATGGCCAAACAGTCACATATGAATATATGATTTAACAGAATTTATCATGAATGTACCAAACAATTTTCAGGATTTAAATCCCCTCAGAATTTCCTAAATCCAAATTAAGAGGATTTACGAAATCCTACTTAAATGAAATCCTGGGTGCTATCAAACAGCCCCTAAGGATTCCTATCTAACCATAAAAGAATCAGCAAACTATAAGAGAGCGAGTACTCAAGGTATGATCGCGGCAGTGAGTGGGCGTCTTGGAGGTCCGGCGGGAACTGAAGAAGTTGAAGGATCTATCACCTTCTGCACAACAGCTTTGTCACTGGAGTTAGCAGATGGAACATGTGAGGGCGGCCACGGGAGCGGGAGGGCGGCGGTGACGTCGTCTAGGCCGGCGAAGAAGGGATCATTAAGAAGCTCGGCGGCGGAGGGGCGGGAGCGGGGAGTGCCGAGGCAGCGTTCAATGAATGTCTGCACTTCGGGGTCACGGACCTTGCTGAGGGAGGCGGGACGAACGCCGGCGGTGACCTTGCGGTAGATTTTAGGTACAGAGTCGCACTCGCTGTAGGGGATTTCTTTCGTCATCATCTCAAGGACGCACATTCCGAAGGAGTAAATATCTACTTGCTCCGTGTAGTCCTCCTCGTAGAGCTCCGGCGCCATGAACTCCGGCGTTCCGAGGATCGAGTGGGCTAAGTGGCTCTGGCCAACGATGGCGGCAAGACCCAGGTCGCCGATCTTCACCTGAAGGACCAAAAAAATTGTACATTTACACTGAACTTTTGTTTCAATTGCTACAAATAATTAACTGATATGGTGTCTTGCAGGTTAACCAATTAAAATTAGACTAATCCTAACAATGTTCAATACATTAATTAAAAAAAAAAAAAGCCAATTGCAAGTCCGAACATGATTTTTTGATATCAAAATATTTGGTTAACCCAAACTTTTGTTAGAAATAATTAAACTTAAATAGGACATTTGCAAATTAAGTATTTTCTAATAAGCATCCATAAAGCCAGATTTTTTTTCAGCTGCCATATAAATTCAATGGACTGCTCCATTCCTTAATGAATATACAATTCTTTGACGAATTCATTCGAGGAATTTACTCCAGTATGTTTTTTATGCAATCATTTCTTATTATGAACAACCCATACAAAGTTATTACTCGAGAGAAATTATTTAAGGAAAGTCAAATAGGCAAAGCTAGGGGTGCAACTGAGTCGAGCTGGCTCGTGAGCTGACTCGAGCTCGATTCTGTAACAGGCTTAACGAGCTGAGCTTATTGAGCTCGAACACAATTTCGAGCTCAATAGCTTATCGAGCTCGAGCTTAAACAACCCATTACTTGACTCGCGAGCTCGTCGAGCAGCTCATGAATGAAATCCCATGCGGAAAAACGAAGTCGCACGTGGAAAAAGCTGGCATAGACGTAAGCTGGATTGAAGCTCGAGCGACGACGCCGATGCTGGCGACGACGAGGACACTGGCAAAGGACGCTGGTATGACGAACAGACTGAGCTCGAAATGCTGCTCGAGCTCGGTATTTGAAAGTCAAGTTTGACTCGAACACCTTCTGACTCTAACTCGACTCGACTCGACTAGACTCATTTGAAACCTTAGGCAAAGCTAGCAAATAAATAAATACTAATTAAAAAAATAAAAATTCTTGTTTTGAGTGCTTGACACGATTTGCTAGCGGAATTGCGGGATGTAGAGGATTCAGAGAATATTCCATCACGGTGGCAAAAGCGCAACAAACTCGGAGAGAAAGATGAACAATTCAACGTAATTTGTTTATTTTTATTGCAAAACTGGATAAGAAATTTGAAAAATAGCAAATTAAAACCCAATCAAAGATTCTGCTGAATTTTCGAAAATGAATCAACATCCCGCAAGGAAATTTTACTAAAAAATCTCTCAATTAAATTTTATTTCAGACACGTGAGATACCTAGATTCCAAAGCATTCCAATAAAAACGGGAAACAGGCAAAACGATTTTCCCTAAATAATCCATAATATTAAAAATAGTTAAAGGCAGACAGCTATTTTTGCTGGGGACATCGTCAGTGTGTGTACCTTGCCGGTGTTCCCATTCATGAATACATTGCTGCAGTTGAGATCGCGGTGAATGATGCACGGATCGTGCTTATGGAGATAATCCAGACCAACGAGGATCTGGCGACTCCACTTTTTCATGGCCTTCAGAGAGACGTGACAATGCTTTCTTCGGTATTCTCTCAGATTACCTGAGGTGCATACCTCTGTTATAAAGTTCAGGGTGCTGGTCTCGTCGTCGGTCCACACGTTATACAGCACAATAATGTTCTCGTGACGCAGAGACCGGAGAAGACGAACCTCCGAGAAAAGTCTCTTAAGCATCTGCGAGTCCTCTTTGAAGCTCTGCAGCCTCACTTGGTTCCAGGCTACCTCAATACCCTCTTCCTGGTCGAACCCTCTGTAAACCTTCTTGGTGGCGCCGATACCGAGGAGATCTGCATATCTCCCATACCTTCCCGTTGGATCCATCTCCACAAACGGCTCTGCATCCTTGTCCGACGGATCCGGCCTTACGCACGGCATCCTCGCTCTAAGCGCAACCAAATCCAAAACACTACAAAATTGCAATCCAAGTATCACAAATTGAACCAGTTAGCGCATAAAAACCAATTTCAATCGCTCGTTCTAAGAATGAAAAGGTTAAATTAAAAAAATACCTTGCTAAATCTCCGGCACCCGGCAATCAGGAGAGCCGCAGTCGGAGAAACCCTGCAGCGATCAAATAAACACGGAGGCGGCACAGATCACAAGGAAATATGAAGTTCTTGATTTCCTCAGGTGGCGATTACTACTTGCCATCGGAAACCTAAAAGGAACGTAAAATCAATGGAAACCCTAGGGTTTCTGCCTTTGATTCGAAAAATACCGAGAAGGATCGAAAAGAGAAAAAGACGAGAGAAAAAGAATCAAATCAACTAGCGGAAGATGCTTGAGCTATTCCCTCTTCCGAATCCAAGGAAGAAGAACATCAAGCGGCTGCGAAAACTTTGCGGAGAAAGCTTGCGAAGAATTCTGGATAGAAAAAGAAGGTTGTGATAGCCTAGCTGTATTTATAGGAAGGAATAACTTTCGTTCCGGGTTTCGTTGAAAATTCGAATTAAACGGACACCCCTACAAGTTGGGAGCTTCGCTACCACAAACGAAAAGTTTGATTTAGACCGTTCGATCTATCATCTACGGCGATGGAATAGCGGTGGCCTGCGCAGCACCGTTAGTATGTCAAGTAGACGATGTGTACTACAATTATATGGAGAATCCATGTGTTCAAATTTAGGTCCCTTATTTCCAAAAATAAAAATAAATTTTTAGCATACAAATTTATTTTAAATTGTGAAAAAATAATTGTCAAATAAGAATTATGATTATGATTTATAAAAAATAGTAATAAAAGTGTCTCAAAGAAAATTGTTATTTAATTAGTTGTGTAGCGAATGAGTTAGCTTTATATTGATGGTCAGTTATTTTGATGATAATACGAGTTGATTGATGAGTTCTTTGGGAAATTAATCTATATTAATATACAGCTTTGTCGGTTATGAACGGGTTAAGTAGCTTAATATTATGACTTGAATTGTTGGAGATTTATGTATGAGTTAAAGTTTTGTTTGGAATATTTTTTTGTTATTATTTTTTTGACTGCTTTCTAAAGTAATTTTTTAGAATTTTTGTACTAAAAATTTACTTTAGAAAGCAGTAAAAAAGTTGTTACAAATGATACGTTAAGCTTTGTTGGGGACAATTTTTTATTGCTTTTTATAATAATTTTTAGTACAATTTTTTTAAATTAATAAAAAATTAGTGGTTGAAAATTGTTCTAAATAAAATCTTAAGCTGAATAGTTTTTTTAACATGATTAAAACCTTAATAATGATTTGATTAGGGCATCTCAAAAGAATATATAGGTATTTGAATTCTTTCATTCTCTTATCCTTTACAAAAGTGATAAGAGCTACAAGTAGACCTGTCAATTTCGGGTTACGGGTCGAACCCGACCCGACCCGTAACTGACCCAGCTTTATTCGGGTTCGGGTCAACCCGACCCGTTTTTATAAACGGGTCGTTTTTCGAAACCCGAACCCGACCCGCTTCGGGTTCAGGTCAACCCGACCTGCTTCGGGTTCGGGTCAACCCGACCCGACCCG